GGTATAAGGACAGAATTTAGCCTCACTAGTACATGTCAGAGTCAGAGATGACATACCAAGGGTTCTAGCTACCTATCCTGTAATCTTCTCTGATGAACTATCCAGTACTAAATACCCAAAAGGATTCAGAGAATTTAAATGGAACCTATAGGTATGAATAATCTAAAGGCAATTAAGCAAACAGTAGTATCTTATGGCTGGCATTCACCATTTGTTAGGGAGATGGTGAAAATGTGGTCTTTGAGCAATAAGGCTAAGCTACACAATTGGCTTCAATTAGTGTCAGTGGCCCTAGAAGACTGGCCACAACTACTGTGGAAATGCTTCTAGCAGGAGGAGGCAAACATTTTAGAACAACAGGGAAGAAGAGAGACTGGAGCTACAGCTTAGTTGGTAGAGTTCTTGCCTAACATGCATGAAGCTCTGGGTTGATCCCAGTCTCTCCTTTATTTTTAAATCATGCATTTGTGTATTTGTATGTGGTATATGTTATATGTCCAACTGTGTGTGCACGCGCACATGGCATTGCATGTGTGGGTGTGGAGCTCTAGAAACCTACCTGTCTCTGTTCCCTGACGGCTTTCCCGTGTGTGCTGCCTCACAGCTTTCTTCCAGGACTCTAAGGATCTGGCTCAGTCTTCATGTTTGTGTGGCAAGTGGTTTTCTAACTGAGCCACCTTCCCAGTCTCGCTTTTCAGCTCTGAACAAGGTTGCGTAGCAACATGGGCATTAGAGGTGAGCAAGCCATCTTATAACCATGAGGGAACAGGAATTATACTGAAACCCATGACAGAAATGCAGGCTAGAGAGAGATGTTCTCTGATGATTTACCACACTGCTTACTGAAGCCTGGAAAAGGTCTACCCACCAACTTCTTTGTTGTTTTCTTCTTTCTTCTCCAGATGAGATCTTGCCATGTGGCCCAAGCTGGCCTCAAACCAGTGACCCTCCTGCCTCCAGTCCAAAGTGCCATGATTAGAGGTGTAAATCATCATTGTTGTTTCCATCCAGCAAGAAGCTATACTTTTGTTTATTAATAAAAGAAACAGCACAAATTTCAAACCACGCTGCAGTTCCTTTTGACATACCATAAAAGCGCCTCGTTACACTATTAATTCCCCAATGGCATTAATGAGACTGTTCCTGGAAGCTGAGGGGTGGCTCAGCAGATAAGAATGCTGTTATGGTTTGAATGAGGGATGCCGGGCCTCCAGAGAAGGCTGTGAAACCTTCAGAAGGTACAGTCTTGCACATCGCCTAGGGGGTATAGCCTTGTCCCGCTTCTGTCCCCTGCCCCTCGCCCCTCTTTCATTTTCTGTGTGCAACTGAGATGTGATCTCTCAACTTCCTCCTCCTCCTGCCATGCCTGGCTGTTACCCCACCACTCCAGTGTTTTGAGCTCCAGCCCTTTGGCACTACGAGCAAAAATAAACTCCTCCATCTACAGTTGCCTTTGGTCATGATATCTTGTCACAATAGTAACTAATGCAGGCACGTGTCACTCTTCCAGAGGACCAGAGTTCAAATCCCAGCACAGGCACTGGGTGGCTCACAACCATTTGTAGCTCCAGCTCCAGGGAATCTGATGCTTCTGGCCTTTGAAAGCAACTTCCAGACAGGAGCAGATACATACAAACACTCTCAAATAAAATTTCAAAATTTTAAAAAGATATTAAATCATCACTGTTGTTATTCAGGGTTCAGACTCTCAACTAACCTGTTTGTTCATGACATCACCAGTCTGGTGTTGTTGTTGTCCCTGCTGTTTTGTTTTTTGTTGGTTGTTTGTTTAGAGATTGGACTCTTTGTGTTACCCAGGCTGGCCTCTACCTTCTTGAGACCAGGGACCTTCCTGTCTCTGTCTCCCAATAACATAATCTTCTCAGGATGTTCGTAGACTTTGGGACAGTAATTGTAGGAATTTCTATAAGCTGTGAAGATTCCATTTGGACATACCTTCCCCAGATTCCTTTAACTCCAGTGCCTCTCCTTTGATGACATTTTTTATTGCTTTCAGCTGCTGCCAGGTGAACTTGTCTGGTTGCCTCTGTGTTATCTTGTCCCTCGGGCTGTGCTACTGATTCATCACTGTGGGATTCTGCTCCAAACCTGACAGGGAATGCAAAAGCAAATGATGGCAGAAAATGTCTGAGCTTTTCCTTTCTTCCTCTTTTGGAATATTTACTTATTTTTATTTTATGTGTATGAGTGTTTTGCCTACATACGTTTATGTGCCCCATGACTATGCCCAGTGTCTGCGGAGGACACTAGCTCTCCTACAAGGAGAGTCACATCCAGTGGAGAGCCACCCTCTAAGTGTTGTGAAAAGAACCTGAGTTCTGCGGGCTGGTAAACAGGGCTCAGGGCTCGGGCCGAAGGAGGAAGGATTTGTAATTACCATAAGGATAGATTCTATTAGTAGAAGCTGCAAAGAACATGGGGACCGCTTTCATAAAATGATTCTATTCACTGAGAGACAGGGCTCAAGATCAGGACTAAACAATGGCCAGGATTTGGGACATCCAGGAAGACTGACTCCACAGAATAGCCAATAGATCACCAGGTCAGACTACATCCACTCCAGCCTTCTGGGTGATCAGGCATTAATCATATTGGTCTCTGAAGAAAATAAGCCACTTCTTTAACGAGCCTGGTTCTTCCAATGCTTTTTTTTTTTTAAAGCAGTGCCTCCTGCATCCTCTCCCGTTTCCCCTGACAAACACACACACACACACACACACACACACACACACACACACACACACACAAACACATACATAAATAAATGCGATTCAAAAATATATTCATAAATGTTTATAGTAGTTTTATTAATAGCCACCCCAAACTATAAACTCAAAGAATTTTTAGTCGGTGAATAGCAAAATAACAAGCTGTAGCTTACCCATGTCATGAACTAAGGCTATGCCTGGGTCAACCACAGAGCAAGAATGGAACTGTTGACTGGGGCCTTCCTCAAACCCAGGAAGTCTGAAGAAGATTTAGGAGTTTCTTTTCATTCTCTAAACTGTGGCTCCTGGGAGATCAGATCTCCAAGCCAGCTCAGCCAGTGCCTGGAATTCCCATTAATCAAAGTCGGTGAACAAACACAGACCAGTCAGCTCCCCGGAGCTCTCACATGCCTGGCGGGATGGCTTTTTGTTCTTTTCAGCGTGACTGCTCCAGCGGCCCATGAATACAGTTTAAACCCCATCTCACTGTGACTTATGCTAAAGCTTTAAATGCCTCTCAGGGAAGTGGGACGGCTGTATCTTAGGGAGTTTATTCGGGGAACTAGTTAGGAAAACCTTTGTGCTTTAGTTCCATTAGCATATGTTAATTATATGCAACAGTCAGTTTCATACGCCACTTCATACACGTCAGTCAAGAGTCACTCCCATTATTCTCTTGTTCCCTTTGGATTTGTTTTCGCTGATCTATTTCTTTTTTTTATCCATCCCCCGCTTCTACTTCTGTCCTTTATTTATTTATTTATTTATTTATTTATTTATTTATTTATTTAATTTATTTAAAAAATGACCCTAACCAGTGAATTTCATTAGGATTGTTTACAGGAGCATGGTCCCCTCACCAGGGGCCACACCACTGAAGAAAACGCCAACCTCCAGCAGCTGTTAAGTGCGTATTAATCCCTAGGGAGGGAAGACAATTTCTCAGTGTGGCTAAGAGAGAAATAATCACTTAGAAACGTCACGTGTACCTGCTTTGCCTTGGGAATTCTAGAGCTTAGTTGAGACCTGCTTGCAGAGCAACCTGGAGCTATTAGTGAGCAGGGAAAGGAAATGTGTCTATCCTAACAGTTTCAGATAGGGAATGACATCAATTGGGGGTAAAAAAATTCACCCAGAAGGGAGTTTTCACATTCTGTTAAATAAAACAGCAGCTAGGGCCGAGAAGATGGGGGCATTCCCAAATAGTTTTGAGGGATTAAGTACTTACCCTCTCCGAGGGTGGGCGGGGATTTTGGAGTTCCTCCTGGTGGATAAGGATGCCAGAGGGAAACAAATACTCTAAGAGGAGGAGGGGCCTTCGTGTTTGTCTTTCCTTGGAAACCAGCCATATTTCCGAGAAGATACGAAGAAAATGAACTTCACCGTAAACTTAGCCCCAGCCTCGGGTAATACTGAAGTTTCACTTTCTCAGCCTTGCCTGTTGATCCCTCCACCTCGGTTTTTGTGAGCAAAGGGGTCAATGAGATCCAGTCCTTCAAGATTGGGGATTAAATCGGCGCTGGGGATTTGAATTCAGGTTCTCACGCTTTAGCAGCAAGCTCTTACCCACTGAGCTCCCAACCTGCCCCATAAAGATTTGTCTTGAGCAGACCGACATTCACACAATGAGGCAGGGACTGGCTTTGATTATCTGTGCCTGGTCATTGGGGGTGCTATGAATTTGAATAAACACACACTTTGAAGTAACCTTTGGTTTACATTAGGCTGCGTTCCCCAGTAAATTTCTTAGGAGAATCCCCCACCCCCGCCCCGTTTCTCTTCTTTTTGACGCAGTCTCACACAGGCCAGGAGTTAGTGACATTTGTGGAGTGTAACCCCCTAGTTTTTGCTGCCCAGGGAGCTCTTCTAGGTACTGAAAAGGTAGCTGTGAAAGAGCGAGAGAAAAACAGTCAAGACAACAGCACGTAAGGCGCACTCGGAACGCGTGGGTGGGCTTTGATGCCCTTGCCGGTGGCAGTGGGAGAGAGGGTTCTCCACGCCCTGCAGCTTCCTCGGTGTTGAGCTTCCATCGGCTCCAACCGGTCAGTTTGTATATGGCCACAGGTGGGGACAGGAGGGTTCTCTGCTCAGTCCTCTCCTGAGGCCTGTCAGTGCCTGTCCTGCAGCCCGAGGCGTGGGTGGCGCAGTGGCCGGTGGCCACCGCGGGGCGCTGCAGCCCTGCGGACAGCAGGATGGGGCGTGGCCGGTGGGGGCGTGGCTTGTGGGCGTGATAAATGGGCGTGGCCGGCGGGCCCCTAAGGCATCCAGACCTCGAGCGCTGGAGCGCGGGGCGAGCTGCTGCTGGCTGGGAGTGCAGCGGCCCGCGAGCTCCGTGAGGAGCGGCCGGCCGGCGCTGGAGAGAAGGTACTGGGCCATCACCTGCTCCTTCGGGTGCTGGTAATCCTCAGGGATCGCTCTTGGGGACCGGGAGGGTACGCCGCTAGCAGGGGTAGCGCTCCTTTGCTGGCCTTCCAGCCATAGGCGCTCTTGGTTGGTGTCGCGAGTTTGTGTGGGTGCATCCACTGCAGACCCTCCGGCCTCCCTGGACGATGCCAGTCTTCATGGTCGTTCGGAGCGCAGCCGGACCTGCGGGGCCTCAGGGCCTGTGAGCCGCCTCTCAGGCTCAGGCTTCCCTCACTTGCCTAGGGCATTGAAGTGTGGCGCTTCCTGTAGATTTGGGGAGCTGGAGGGAAGAGAAACAGTATTGTTGACCTAAAAAGAGTTGCACTTTGGAAAGCTGGCCAAGAATGCAGTGCATCCCCAGAAGTGCACCGACAGGATTCATGTGTAAGGTGTGTGTGTGTGTGTGTGTGTGTGTGTGTTGTGTGTGTTTTTGATTGCCACTTGGGTGGCATGAGACTGAGCCGTGAGCGACCAGTTAGGCGTGTGACCAGAAAACCCACACCTTTAAGTCTTAATGTTTAGAACTGTGAACTGAAAGCGTCATACATTTCCCTCAAAGTTGGCATCGAGTTTTCCCATGCTGGGCATCCTTCCTGTGAGCCCCTTGGCTGATGGTAGCCAGGTATGTTAAGCTGATGGAGATCAAATGTAATGAAAAGATCTTGGGCAATGACCAGTCACACCCAGGTGCAGGGTTGTCTCGTGTTGACATCGAGTAGCGATTGCTCATCCTTAAAATAGTTGTTCGGTGAATAGCTGCCATAATGAAGTTCCTGGGTAAATCCTACTGTGTGCTTAGCATATGATGAACGAGGTGTTTTGATTTTTTTCTCTTTATACGAACAACACGGTGGCCAGGAGACGGCTAAGTCGGCAAGGACTCTTGCCCCCGGACAATTTGAATTTGATTCCCAGAAGATTTGACAAGGTGGAGACCTAACAAGTTGTGACCCGACCTCCTCATGGACAGTGGTTCATTCACACATAGCATAAGTAAATTGGTATCTAAAAATAAACTAGGAAATTTTATATTACAGTTGGAAGAGTTTTCTGCCCTTCAGTATGCAGAGGGGGCAGGCAGAGAAAAAAAAATGAAGGAAAATTAGAGACCAGAAAGCAATTAGTGGTACGGTATTATAAAGTATAACTGAAGATGATTTTTACAAAGAACTAAAACCATCACAATAAAAATGCTGGGTTTAGGGGGCTGGAGAGATGGCTCAGCAGTTCAGAGCACTGGCTGCTCTTCCAGAGGACCACGGTTCAATTCCCAGCACCCACACGGTGGCTCTCAACTTCACAACTATCTGCAACTCCAGTCCCAGGGGATCCAGCACCCTTACATCGACATACATGTGAACAAAACACCAATGTGCATCAATAAAAATAGATAAATAAGAAAAATGCTAGGTTTGGTGGTGCATACCTGTAACCCCAGCCCTCTGGAGCCTAAGGCAGCAGCATCAATTTGAGGTCAGCCTGGATAAACAGCGAATTCTGTCTTAAAAACAAAACAACTGTTACTCCTTGTTTGTCTGTGGTGGCAACGAATATTAGCCTTAGCCTCCCCTTCAGTCCCTACATGTTTCCAAAGCCTGTCTTCCATATAAAAGCCAACTGCTTATGCTATAACTCAGCTTAGCAACAAGGCACACTTCTGATTCCCAACGTCCTCTGCCTTGTCCTCTGGTGTCTTCTCGGAAGCAGATGCTCAGAGACACGTAAGACAAGAGTAACTAACTAGCAGGGACAAGTACCCAGCTGCGGAGCCAGAGCGGTAACCACCCCCCCATCAAATCACTGTTCTGGATTTTGTTTTAATTCCCCCTTTGCTTAATGAAAAACTCCAGGGAAGGGGAATGTCCAAACAAGCATTTCCGAAGTAATTTAGCGCATTCTCCAGTTAAAAGCAGGATACAAGAGTGAAGCGGAAAGACGCAGGAAGGCTTGCTGTCTGAGCGCTCCCGACCGCAGTGGACTCAGGGTGTGTTCAGTCTGCGCAGAGACCCTGTCTCTCCCAGTACACTTGGAGACTCTAATTTAAAAAGCTTGCTTGAGTCCCGGAGAATCTGGAAAACAGTTATTTGTGTCTTTGTATCTCAGGGTAAATTTTATAAAAATTACTACTATCCAGGGAGCATTGTTCGGGCTGGGAAGGGTTAAGCTGACTGAGAGTGAGCCTTGGAAATGGCTTTTGCCCAAACCCTTCTTCCTCCTTCTTTGTGTGTCTGTGCAATGTTGTTATTTTTTCAAGATCACACATAAATCTCATCAGTGGTCTTCTTCTTCTCCTCTTCCTCTTTGAGTCAGGGGCTCTGCACATCCCTGGCTGTTCTGGAACTTAGTATGTAGAACAGGCTGGTTTCCAACCTACAGAGATCCTCCTGCCTCTGCCTCAGAGTGCTTTAGTCTTAGCTCTGAAATCTCAACTGAAGGAAAGACTCCTGAAGGGGCCTTGCAGTTCTTAGTGTGTGAGGACGTTCTTCGTGGACTCCTTAGGTGGCAATAGTTAGGAGCGGGTAGCGTGAAAACAAGGTATGTAGATGCCACTTGAAAAAAAGTGATGCATGTAAAATTGTATTTATTTATTTAATTAAAAATATTTTTGAGATTTTAATTTTATGGATATGGCTGCTTTGTCTGCGTGTTAGTTTGTCTTACATGTATGCAGCACTCTTGCAGATGAGAAGAGGGGCCTTGGAGTGAGTGTTGGGAATTGAACCTAAGTCCTTTGGAAGAGCAGCGAATGCTCTTAGCTGCCGAGCCATCTCTCCAGCCCTAGATTTATTTATTTAGGGGCAGGCATTGCTATGTAGCTATGTTGGCTTCAAGTCCATGACAATCCTCCCTCCCTAGTTTCCTGGGTACCTGGAAGACACTCCGACGGCAGCACGTCTGTCTTCTGTTGTTTCATTTTTAAGTAGCGGTCACTAGCAGGATGCCGGTGCCTGTCCCTGGGACACCACCACCTCCTTTCCTGTTCCACGTTAATCTTTCCATAGCACTTTTTCCCAGCCAGCTCTGGAAATCCACCTTTTCCAAGGCATGCTGTTGTGGGTTGAGAGTCAGTGCCTAAGGGTGAGGTGCACACACACTCATGTCCTGGACACTGTGTTGCCACTCAGATTGTTAAATGCACTAGGTCATCCCTGTGACTTTCAGCGCAGGCTACCCAGCCAATAGTACAAAATGCTACTCCAACCCAGAAGACGTCATGGGGCGTGACAGGTGCAGACTCTATGGTTTTACTTATGAGACACCTCACCTGGTGTAGTCAGATTTATAGGAAAAGAAAAATCAATTTTGGTTAACAGCGGGGGTGGGGGGAGAACATGACAGGAAGTTGTGTACTCTGTGAACTTAATAGTATTTTTAAAATTATTTATTATTTTTTTGAGGTTGTAATATAATTTTATCGTTTTCCCCCAATAGTATTTTAAAATAAAATTTAAGGGTAGACATTTCTGTTCATGATGCCCCAGTACCAGACTGCACCGGCACTGAGTTCAGGGACAGTTTAGGGTGCTTAGAGAACCTGGGATGGCATCACCTGTCCATCCCACCACATGCTTCCACAGAGGGAAGAGGTACCTAGTTGCGTTCTTTTCGGAAGGCCAGTGTTTGTGTTATTTCCTAGGGGGCTACAGTATAAAGAGGAAAGTCGGCTGAACCCTGTACTGGGGACTGCACCTAGGGCCTCCCAGTACGCGGGGCAAGTGCTGCTCCACAGAGCTGGAGAGCTCGCCTCTGAAATAAAGTACGTTTTGCCCAAGGAGGTAAACTTTAAGGCTGTCTTTTGGTTTATTCTTTGTTCCAAATGTATTTGTACAGTGTATTCTGCCTTGTTTAGTACCCAGTGGTTAAGGGAGCATTTGTATATTGTTAGAAGGTGAGATACCAGTTAGAATTTATCCAACACAGCTGTTCCTGTCCCTGAGTTTTGTTTTGTTTTTTTTTTTAACTTATCTAAGATGGTAAAATTGTAACTTGCAGTCTTTTCTTACATATAAGAATCTTTCTATTTGCTTTTACTTAGAAACCTTTTAATAAATTGTACTTCAACTCTTCCGCCGCGATGTATATTCTGCTGAGGTATACTGTGCACGGAAACAGAGTTCTAGCACTTAGTGGCTTAGTTCAAGGAGAGTATTTATCTAGTAAAGTTAGTAGTTTACTCAAAACCAAGTTGGTTATTTCAGGCTGGGCAGCTCTCCTGGGCAGTTCTCCTTCATGCCAGTCAGGGGTCAAGGTCCCTCCTTTGTGAAGCCACCATTGTGAACTTGTGGTCTCCAGTCACTCAAGACAGAAGGAACATAAAGGCTTACCACACTGATACCCTCCACCAGCCTGGGGAGCAACCCCCTGCTCATATAAAGTTGACCAGAGCCAGCTACATGGCTCTACCTGAATTCAAGGAGTACCAGTCTGGGCAGCTATTGCAATGGATGGAGAGCCATCTTTTATAAATACAGGTTAGACTTCACTTTGACAGCTGAAGCAGGAAGATTGAGAGTTCAAGGCAATGGAATAAGACCCTATCAAAAATATCCAAAAGAACAAAAAGCCCAAATAGGCCAGTCTTAGTGGCCAGTTAATTGTAACTGCATTCATATATATGCCTTGTTTTCCAAAGACACACACACACACACACACAGCTTTCACAGTGCAGGTGTGGATGACGTCGTATACATAGGACATAATAAGATGGGATTAAACTATTTAAGTTCAAGTATTAATTAGTGACTGAAGAACATCGACTTTTTCCAGTCATGTGATCTTAGAGAATCATACATTTTAGAAAGAAGGAGTGAAAATGGAGATTAGCCCAGGACAAGAATGTGCATGTCTTGGTGGCTTCTTAACTTTCTCCTAACAGTTTAAAGGACTGAAGACTGCCAACAGTAGGGGAGTGTGGGACCTGTCTCACATCAAAACAAAGTCTTTAGCGTGGAATGTGTTAC